TATTTATTTGATTATAAGCCAAAACTGTTTGTTAGCTGATTCCAGGAAATCAAAACCAAAATAAATAAAAAATGAAAATTTATTAATCAAGCATAAGGAATAAATTTTACACCACTTAATTGTTCAGTTGCTGTCATTAGATGACTCAGATTCTTTGTCACTGTTTTTGTACAGAGCATCATCTTCACTCTGGCACATTAGAAATCAAACACTTTTTAAACATACCAGTGATGACTTCTCAAGAAATACTTTTCAACATGTGCATACAGCTTCTGGTGATATTTCTCTGAACTTTCAACTGCATAGTTAAAGGATGTCACCTACTTTACTGACCATATTAATGATACTGATTCTAATCCAAGGGCATTTTATTGAACCATAAAAAAATTAAAAAAAGATCTGCTTGCAATTGGGTAAATACAGTAATAAAAAAATCTCCAATCATATAGTGCAATGGTTCCCAATTAGTGGTACGTGTACCCCCAAGGGTACGTGAAATTGCGTGAAGGGGTACGCACAGCAATCTAAAATCGATCGCTTTAAAATTTAAATGCATAAGATGAAGCAATCAAAAAAATAATGGGTGCACCATCAAAAATTCGGCAATTTACAACATGATGTCGAATGGACAAATTCATTTATTTATAACTAAAAATATTCTCGAAATTTCATCAAAAAAATGCATTTGAGACAATACCTAAATGAAATTCTTACGCAAGAAACAAAAATTATACAATTTACACAATTTGTGTTAATTGTACAATTATCATTATCATCTTGTTAGTGAAGTGGCAATAAAATATTTACTACCATTTTGCACAACATACCTCTGCAAGAGCGGATTTTTGGCCATGATAAACATGAAAAGTAAACATCGTCACTAACTTCAACTTGAAGATGACTTGAGACTGAAGCTGACCAAAAGGCAACCAGATTTTACAAAGTTGTGCAAAGAAAATCGTGCACATTGTCACATTAAAATTAAATAACCTTATGTTATTTTCATTATTATTAGAATTGTATTTTAAAGGTAATAAATGTAAAAAAAAAAA